AATGGTAATGATGGTGGTGATGGTGATATTGATGGTGATGATGATGATGGTGGTGATTATTATGCTGGTCATGGTGATGGTGGTGATTATTGTGGTGGTGGTGGTAGTGATGATGGTTATGATGGTGATATTGATGATGGTGGTATTGATGGTGGTATTGATGGTGATGATGGTAATGGTGGTGATATTGATGGTGATAGTGGTGGTAATGATAACGGTGATGGTGATGATGGTGGTGGTGATGGTGATATTGATGGTGATGATGGTGGTGGTGATGGTGATGGTGGTGGTGATGCTGGTGATGGTGGTGATGGTGATATTGATGGTGATGGTGGTGATGATGATGGTGATGATGATGATGGTGATGGTAGTGATGGTGATGGTGGTGATGATGATGGTGATGATGATGATGGTGATGGTAGTGATGGTGATGGTGATGGTAGTGATGGTGGCAGTGATCATAATGATGGTAGTGATGGTGGTGGTGGTGATGGTGATATTGATGGTGATGATGATGATGGTGGTGATTATTGTGCTGGTCATGGTGACGGTGGTGATTATTGTGGTGGTGGTGGTGGTAGTGATGATGGTTATGATGGTGATATTGATGATGGTGATATTGATGGTGGTATTGATGGTGATGATGGTAATGGTGGTGATATTGATGGTGATGGTGGTGGTAATGATAACGGTGATGGTGATGATGGTGGTGGTGATGGTGATATTGATGGTGATGATGGTGGTGGTGGTGAAGGTGATATTGATGATGATGATGGTGGTGGTGATGATGGTGATATTGATGGCATTATGATGATGGTTTACTCATGAGAGCCCTTCCTATGTGGCAGGCACTGGTCTGGGCAGCCAGCCAAAGAGAAGTTGATAACCTGCCCAAGGTCACTCAGTTAGAATGAAGGCAAGAGTCAAATCTTGGCATTCTTCCCCAGTGCCCACAGCCCTGACCACCACACTAGGCACCTCTCTTTTCTGCACTCAGGGATGCAAATTCCTCACACAGAGGAGCCAGGGCTCAAACACAGAGCCCTGCAGAGCAGAGCAGCCACACCTGGCACCTGGCACCTGGCATCCTGGGTCGGGGTACCAGGCCCATTTCAGTTACTGTGGAAGCCAGTGTGAGCCATGGGATGCTTTAGAGGCAGATTCCCTGGGTTTGAGGTCCAGCTCAGCCAGTAGCCACTATAAAGATTAGGGATTCCAGTGAAACGCTTGGCATTGGGACCTGGCCCTCGGCAAACCGTAAATGACCCTCCTGTTGTTATTGTTATTATTACTGACCACCAAGTGTGTACATAATTGTGTGGGAGCAGCTCACAGAGCTCCCAGCTATGCTTACTGGGCCACTGTTCTCACAGTCTCCTCTGGGTGCCAAAAGTCAGCGCTTGGGTAAGTTGGCCCCCAGCAGTAGCAAGGCTGAGTCCTTTCAGGCTGCCTGGACCCTGCACAGTACAGAGCATGCCTGCAGACTCCCCCTTCCTCTGGTGGAGGGTAGACCCCAGGCCCAGGATGCCCAGCCAGGCCACTTGGCTGGAAGGGCCTGATTCGGCCTTAACTTTTCACGTGGTCATCTTGGCCCTCTCTGTTCTGGCCAGAAGGAAGCTGATGCAAGAATGCCTGGTCCCCACACTGCAGCCAATCGGACACTCCTCTCCTTAGCACCCACTGGGTGGGATCCCGACTGCTCTCAGATAAAGAGAAAACTCCTACAAGGTCCAAGTCCCCTGCCTCCCTGCTTCGGCTCAGCTTCGGTCTCCTCCTCTGCTCCGTGGCCTCCTCACCCCTTCATTCTACCCATGCTACTCCCTGGCACAGACAGCTTCCTTCCCTGGGCGGCAGAGAACAGTGACCTCCCGTTGGCCTCAAGTTGGGAGGGCTGGATCCAGCTGCCAGCCTCCCTGGGGATCTGTCTAGCCGGCAGGCATTCCCGTGGTGGCATAGCTACTGCTGGAGGCTGTGGGACAGAGGCCTCCCCTTTNTACTGTGGAAGCCAGTGTGAGCCATGGGATGCTTTAGAGGCAGATTCCCTGGGTTTGAGGTGCAGCTCAGCCAGTAGCCACTATAAAGATTAGGGATTCCAGTGAAATGCTTGGCATTGGGACCTGGCCCTCGGCAAACCGTAAATGACCCTCCTGTTGTTATTGTTATTCCAGCTCAGCCAGTAGCCACTATAAAGATTAGGGATTCCAGTGAAACGCTTGGCATTG